TTACCCTTGCCCCAGACATTTCCTTCATGTCTCTTTTCCTTCAGTTCCCCGTCCCTGCCAGGTACCCTCTTTCTGACTGCTGTCACGGAGGGGGAGTATTGCCTGCTCTTGGAAGCCATCTACAAAGAATACCACAGAATACAGTTTGTGGCTGGCTCCATCGTTCACCATAATGGTTTCTGAGATTCAGACACATCCTTTTATCAGTGCCTGAAAGTGGTGATAATGTGTACAGACCATTTGGCGGTTTTATTCTCTTATTGTACAGGAGCGTTGTCCCACTGTCTTGCAGGTATTGGCTGTCGGGTGTAAGAGAGACTAGGTGGGGAAGCAGGTTTAGAGTAAAACTCATCACGACGTCAGAAACTGAACTTAAGATTCTGCTCACAGGACGCAGGGTCTGGACACTCATCTCTCCATGGTCTACCGGGCAAGGCTGGGATATAAGCACATTTATTTTTGTGCCTGCTCAGTTTGCTTGGGCTTCCTGGAGCCCTTCTGTTTTCCCTGTAGTGCCCCAGGTAGGGATCATTTGATTTCCTACCAAGGAACTCTCTGCTTAACATTTAAGGTATTTTGCCTTACAATGCACATATATGTATATATATATATATAAAACCTCTAATGATGAGGGAACACAGGAGAGTTCCTCAGGCAGGAAGTCACACACCTGCATATACATCATTTAGAACCAGGGGTTGGCAAAGTTTTTCTGCCAAGGGTTAATATTTTTGGCTTTGCTGGTTATATTGTCTCTGTTACAACTCTGCTATTCTTAGTGAGAAATCAGCCATAGACATTATGTGAACCAATAGATTTGATTATGTTCTAATAAAACTTTATTTGCAGAGACAGGTAGTGGGTTGAATTTGGCCTATAGGCCACAGTATCTCACCCCTGGTTTAGGTATCTTCCTGCTCTGCCTACTCATGAGGCTTGTATAGCAAGCCTGTCTTAGCAAAATACACAGAATTAGTTTTCCAGAATACAGAAAGCTGAAAGGAACCTGAGGTTGCACCTGTTACAACCTCTCATTTTTAAGTGAGAGCTCTGAATTCCATGGTAGCAGCTTTTCAATGTCAAGAGCCCAGACAATTCAGTCTCCTAAGTACTTAGCAGTATTCTCTGCCCTTTTAAATTTGGATATGAGTCTTAGTACCTCCAACAGACCACAATATTGACATTTGGCTTAGAAACTGTCTTCACTAATGTACTTTAAAGGAATAAAAGAGAGATAGACAGGCGCACACACACACACAGAAACAGATATAGGATTTCAGGTTGTAGGATTCTGAAAACTTAACCAAGGGTGGGCCAAGAAGGGATGAGAGTTATATATTTAGTAAACAGATGAATCAATGAAAAAGAAGCACAGTATATTGAATACTTTTTCCAAATCATTATTTTAAAATTATGCATGTGTGAGAGAAATAAATAACAAAATAAGTTTTTTAACCAAGAAAATAGAGACCTAGGTTCTCTGATGTTCTGTTCATTAATCTAATTTATTCTTTAAAAATTTTTTTTAGCAAACATTCATTGGGTGTTTTCTCTTGAAGGCACTATGAAAGATCAAAGCTAAACCAGGTGGAATTTCTGTGCTTCAGGAGCTTATACTGGAGCCCGGGAGAACTGGGGCCCGTGTTTTGCCCAGTGCTGCAGCCTCTAGTGAGCGAACAGGGCTTGCTCCGTGGAGAGGCGGTGTGTGAGCTGGGCGTGCGGAGCAGTGTGATGTGCTTGGGTGTTTGGATGGGGGTGGGGGCCAGGGAGGCTGTTAATTGGATGCACTGAGGGATTGGTGAGGAAGTAGTAGTGGATTCTGTAGATATATATTTGGCAGGATTTTATTTTCAGGATGGGGTTTGGCTCAACAGAGCAGTTGTCAAAGAGATGTCAATTGCTCCAGCCAAAGCAGTTAAAACAAATTCATAAAAGTGCCTCACTGTGGGAGCATGTCTTTACCTCTGCAAATACCATATAGTCTATTGATACAAAGCATCAATTTTGAAAGGATTAGACTCAAGTAAAAATTTAATTCTTTTAGAACTCTGGAAGACTTTATGCCCCCCTGCCCAAACAAACAAACAAAAACTCCCAAATCACCGATAGAAAGTCATTTACACATTGGAAGTAACTGGCTTAATAGCTACTATTATAACTAATCATAAACATATGCTGAAATCTTAGTGGCTTGGTCAAAGTCCCAGTATTCAGACTTTGCATTTAGTAGAGACATGCATGGCTCTTCCCCCAGGGACCGGAGCTTCCTCTGTGTTTACCTTGGCTTGTGGTTGGGTGACCCAGCTGTGTATTGTGAGTATCAGAGTTTCCCCAGCCTTGTGCACCAAAAACACACAGGGAGGCAGTGGGAGAAGGCTTTAATTCAACAGTAATGAGACAGGCCTGCCCTAGGCATTTTGATAATTCCCTGAAGGCAAGAATATTAATAACAACAGAGCAGACTTGGGGGGCCATCTCAAACTATAGTGGTGGGCTATAGTTAAGCCCATGGGTAGTGGTGTCATGGAATGCACACTTAATTGTTTTGGGAAAGTGTTAAAAGAGATTCAGTTAGAGGTTTTTTGCCTTCTTGGAATGACGCCACCCCCAGAATAGAACTCGCCACACTCCCAAACATGATTGGACCTCAAATTCAGCAAGTATTCAATTACGTGAACCATTTACTGCGTCAGTATCTATTTTGAGAAACTACTTTACATCCAGAATATGTTTACATTTATAGCTGCTGCTGTGCCTATGTTATATACCTGGAGAGAGCTCTCATAGTATTAAGAGTATATCTCTAGTGACTAGAGATTATCTTTGAACAAGTCTAGGACAAGTTCAATATAAAAACAGCGCATGGCTGAAATAGCCCAGCTAGGGGGGTACCGTGTTGGAGGCCGCTGTCTGCGTTGTCTCCGTGTTAGACTTCTTCCGGGCAGCACTGTCCTAACGGACGAGTTCTGTGGCTTGGACGCTTCTGGCCGATGTGAGAAACTGACAGAACATAGGCTGGGAGGGCCCTGGGCATACAGGAGAACACCTATATGAATAGGCTATTTTCGTTCTTAGAAGTGAAAAAGGTTGGCAAACAACATTTGACAAGGTCAGGGCCCAAGAAGTACTGAGTTCTAGACACTTCTCAAGGAAGATATAGAGGGAGCAGAAGCCTTTCAGTATTTCACACGTTTACAGGAAACTATACAAATTGTTGACTTATAGGAAGACAAGGCAGATTCCTTGTTTTTGATGCTCCACATTCCGTGGCCTCTTTCCTAAGTGGGAGTGTGCTCAGTGTTTCTAGTGCATCTCTCCCCACGTCTTGGATCCCACGCAAGTGTGTGATCTGAACCCGAGACCATCGGCCCCGAGTCGTGTGTGCCAAGACAGAGGATAAAAAGTGTGTGTTTACGCAAATAAAGCATTTCTGAGATGGAGATAGAGCTTCTAGCACATGTCTTGACAATATAATCATACCAACCTGAGACAAAACTGAGCTAAAAGTCAATCATTGCGAACAAGTGATTTGATCTGTTTGCACATTATCCGTTCAGTAAGCTGTAGCACACTGAAAATGGAGATTTAAGAAAGGTTAGCTGGGGTCATGAGTAGCTAATTAATATCATGTCTTTATAGGAAAGTTAAAAGCATAAAAGCCAGACACTGCTGGCTTTTGGTAGTATTGTCTGACAAATTGCTGGACTGGGGAGATATTTCCCATTACCCAGAGTTTTAAATTCTGCTTCAATTCCATACAGCCTGTTCATCAATCAGTTCATAGGACATTTGAGCCCCAAGGATCCTTAGAAAACATCTAGTTTTCTTTTTCAAATGAGGAAGCTAAGACATTAAGCAACTCAAGTTTCCAATGCTCTAACATTTCGATACCATTTTTTTTTAATGGGAAGAACTCATCATCAGGTTTTCTTATAATGTCTTCTTGTCATTCCTTCTGATATAACCTGTGACATCAGAGTAGAACATTACTCTATGCACAGACTGTCATATGGCTTTTATATAACTCGAAACAGGTTTTTTTGGGGGAAATGTTTAGCATCCATAAGACTTAGGACTGCACTCCTGCTCTATGATGGCATATTTAGAGTAGTGGTATCATCAGTCTGCCCTTTGAAAAGAAATATTTTAATTCATAAAATTAAAAGTGAAGCCAATTCATTTTTCATTGACAGCTCATTCTTAGGTCAAGTGTAGGTAGCCTCAAGGAGATGCCATTGGGGCACATTTAAAGTTCCCCGATGACTCCGGCAAGGAAAAAAGGATACCTCCAACCTGGCGTTTCTGATGACCTCCAGCTCAGTTCTTTTTGCTGGGTTACTTCCTTCTATGCAGTGGACTATTCCTTTTGGAGAAGACAACTTGAACTCCTGTGCCTTTCTAAGTACCTGTACTCTCTCATCTCTGGGTCTGTGTGCATGGTAACAACTGCTAACATTTACTGAGTCTTTCCTCAAAAGCAGGTGCTGTTCCAAGTGCTTTACCTGTATTAAAGTCCCAAGGGTTTTACTGCTATGCATTAGGTACCACTTTGCTTCTTATTTTAGAGATTTAGAAACTGAGGCACAGAGGATAAGTAATTGGCCTAAGTATGGTAATCTCAGTCCCAAACCCATGCTCCTGCTATCTTGCTAGCTAGCTAGCTTGCTTTCTTGCTTTCTTTCTTTCTTTCTTTCTTTCTTTCTTTCTTTCTTTCTTTCTTTCTTTCTTTCTTCTTTCTTCTTTCTTCTTTCTTCTTTCTTCTTTCTCTTTTTCTTCTTTCTCTTTCTTCTTTCTCTCTCTCTCTCTCTCTCTCTCTCTCTCTCTCTCTCTCTCTCTCTCTCTCTCTCTCTCTCTCTCTATTTAGAGACAGGGTCTCACTCTGTTGCCCAGGCTAGAGTGCAGTGGTGTCATCATAGTTACTGCAACCTCAAACTCCTGGGCTCAAGCGATCCTCCTGCCTCAGCCTCCAGAGTCTCTGGGACTACAGGTGTGCACCACCACACCTGCCTAATTTTTCTAATTTTTGTAGAGATAGGTGTTGCTGTGTCACTGAAGCTGATCTTGAACTAGACTCAAGTTATTCTCCTTCCTTGGCCTCCCAAAGTGCTGAGATTAAAGGCGTGGGCTATCATGCCCAGCTACTGTGTTTTTTAAAAAAAATTATGGTAAAAAAAAAAAATTGTGGCAAAATATACATACCATGACAGGGCCCATGCTTTTTGCCATCACACTCTCCTTTCTACACATCCTAATTCCTCTGCTTGAAGAGCCTTCTCCTAAGTCTTTACATAGTTAAGTCCTGTTGTCTCAGGAGATTGGGTCATAGGTTACTGCCTTAGTCTGTTTTCTGTTGCTATAACAGAATGACACAGACTGGGTGATTTATAAAGAAAAGTTTATTTAGGGTATGGTTCTAGAGGCTGGGAAGTCCTAGAGTATGATGCTGTGTATGACAGGGCTTTTGTACTGCTAGGGAGAGAGGGCAAGTACATGCCAGCTCAGGTCTCTCTTCTTGTAAAGCCATCAATCCCATCAAGGGGACCGCACCCTGATGAGCCTATCTAATCCTAATTACCTCCCAAAGGCCCCACCTCCAAATACCATCAACATATGAATTTGCGGATTAAGTTTCTAAGACGTGAACTTTGGGGGATATATTTAAGCCCTAGCAGTTACACTGTCTAGAAAGCCTTTCCTACTCTCTTTCAGTCTGGCTCCAGTTTATCTCCTCTATGCTCTCAGTGAGCTGTGGGTCAGAGGCAGCCCTAAATTTATCATTCCCAATGGTAATTGCAATGTTACCTCTCTGTAGCTGCTGCTACCCCCATAGTGGACTACAGCCTCCCTGAGAGCAGGAGTCAGGGTTCATCTTTATGATCTCAGTGCCCAACAACATGCCCTGTAAGTGTTTATGGGATGGAGAGAGGGAGGCCCTGTATGGATTTTCTTTTCTAAAATTGGAAAACAAAATAATTGACTCTGATTAAAACTGATCACAGAAGACAATTTTTTTTTACAATGAAAAATAGAAAACAATAGGCTAAAGAAACACTGAGAAATGCTAATCTAGGTCAGGTTCCACATGGCCAGATGCCTATATTTTTAGTTTGTCAGATTTTATCTCTTGCAAAGAAAAAAAATCCCCAGGACGTAGAAGAGAAAGGAAATGCTTTTGTTTTTCAAATTGTGAAACTGTAGTTTCCATGACCTCATTGTGAGGCAATCCCTCTTCTTGGAGATAAAATCCCTCTTCTTGGAGATAATTTATCTTCTCTTAAAGTGCAGCATCTAATTTAGGGCTCAGTGATTTGTGATGATTCAGAGAGGATCAGAGAACATAATTTTAAAGCCTGGAAAATGATGGCCATGAGGAGTATACACAGAAATTGAGATTGTTGGGGCTGGAGCATAGAAAGGCATAAAGATCTGTGCCAGTAAGTCAACAAGGATACAGTGTCGCCTACTGGTGGGCATACACAGACTTGTTTTCTACTGGGGAGTCCACCCAGGGAGAGAATTACCAGCGCCAGAAACAGCAGTTGCTGCCATCCAGCAGCATCGTAGATTACAAAATACAACAGTGTTGTCTCTTTGTAATTGTGTAAGCCACAACATTTGCCATATAATTTTCCTTTCTGATTTGAATTTGATTTACTGTCCTTGAAATTCCCTAGTGTTAAAAACTTAATTCGTAAATGCTAAGACAAGAAGCCAATTTTCCTATTATAAGAAATAGCAAAGTACCTTCCATTTTTGAAGACTTGCCTACAAAACTTAAAAAAAAAATTCCAGGCATGTGGGAAATTCAGCTTCATTAAAATAGTGTTTAATTAGAAAGGAAAGAGAGTTACATTTGTAGAACAGAGCAATTTGATTATATTTGAACTATTAAATAGATTAATTTTCAGGGTGGTCATTCTTATATGCATTTAATTGACACTAAATTATATTAAGAATTTAATTTTAGCTCCCTTTACAAATTGGCCAATGCCCAATCACCCCTGATAGACTAATAAGATTTCTACTCTGCTGTGGTTTTTATTAATCCTCATTACTACTCACAGAGGAAAAACCTAAGTTTTTCCCCCACTCTCCCCCACTGAGTTCAACAGCCACATTCTGGAACTGTTTCAACAGAATGTGAGCATTATTGTAAATTCTTGGGACCTCAGACCCAAATCCAAACCCAAACAGACCTTCCTGCCTATTCTGCCTGCATCACTGGCGTCACAAGCCAGTAAAGGACTAGTGCTTCACTTAAAAATCCCCTTGCGAGCTATTTCTTGATCCTCTTTTCTCTCAGGATCTCTCATGATCTTTCTCTGTTTGTGTTGGAGGCTGTTTGTGTGTTTAGTTAACACAAGCTTCGTGCAGTCTAAGATTCCTGACTTAGCAAGATCACCTGCTGCTAAATCCACCTCCAGCCTCTGCACAAGAAGGACCATGTCTAAATGGAAAGGATGCTGTGAAATAGGCTCTGGAAGCTTCTCACCGGGCTCGAGGTCAGTTCTTAGCTGGGATTGCTGTGTGGTGACGGCAGGCTTTTCCTCTTCTAAGCTAGAGAGCACAGGCATGTGACAGTCGGGCTTCTTGTTCCTCTCAGCACTCCACTGCCATCCCTGCTCCCATGGAGGAGTGCAGCAGTTAGCCTTCTAAGAAAGTAAGTCAGTATCACTGCACAAAGTGATGGGTTTATTTTTTTATCTTTATATGTTCATAGTCATTCTATTTGCTTCTGTTTTTGAGCCATTGCTTGACGATGCTTTTCCCCCCCTTCAGTTTTTGCTAGAAATACTATATGTAGGGTTTTGAGATGAGGTAATAATAGCCTCTCAAGCCTTTCCTCATAAATCAGTAGCTTTTGTGTCTTGCAGAAATGTCACTTAGTTAAGTGATCCTGAGTGTAGGCTATTTGTAATTTGGGAGGGGACAGGGAAATAATGGATTTGTAATATCCAGGGGCCCAGTTTGAAATGGTATGCATGGATTAATTTTGTCACTTGTTTTTTTAAGGGAAGAGTCCTTGAAAGAGACTATTAAATATTTCTGCTTATTTGTAGGACACTATTGCAATTGCAAAAGCTTAAAGTAAGAAAATTAGTTTGAGATGAGTGCCACTGCTCTTGTCTCAAAATAGATTCTTTCATATTAACCTTTAAAAAAATTTTTTTTTCAGGTATCCTTATTTTATCTAATAAAAAAGTGTCAGTAAGGACAGATAGTGTGTTTTCATGAGACCAAATTGAGATCGACCATATTTTTTCCTCCTCTGTCCCCTATCATGTTGACCCATGGAGTTAATACAATCTTATGATTTATTCTATTATGTATCATACAATAAAGTTTCAGCTTATTCTGTAAATGCGGACCACAGTTTGAAGAATATAATATATACAGCCTCACATAGTATGAGATTTGAGATTGACTTTTAAAAATTATTCTTAATAAAGTGGATATTTTCTAAATTAAAAGAAAAGATAATATTTGGAGAAATGGGGTTGAATTGGTTGAGACATCTTATTTTTGTTGCTATTTTTAAAGTTTGAGTTCTGATGGTCTTCCCAGAGGCATGGCTACTGCATGTTTCTGATTCCCTAGTAGAGCTTCACCTTCAAACACTTTACCCCAAGCATACCGATTTTTGTCTTAGTAAATATGGTCTCTGGCCCTAAAAGACAAAAGAGGTTGTAGAAATTCTTATAGGAGTCTAATTATAAAGCTGACACTTAGAGCTATACTTACTTTTTACAGCTCGGATTTGGTAAAATTCTGGTCTACGTTAGTAAATTTGTTATTATCTTAAGTATTGGATTCATAGCTCTAAAAATATGATACAATTGATTCTCTGTTTGCAGTGATTTCATTTTGTTCCTGATATCTGCTTATCTCCAATAACATTACTTGAATGAAGGAACAAGGTAACGGGCCATCAGGAAGAAATGCCTATTTCTTTAAATGACTATTTAAAGCCTTCTGGTAGGCCTGCGCAGTGGCTCACGCCTGTAATCCTAGCACTCTGGGTGGATCGCTCAAGGTCAGGAGTTCGAAACCAGCCTGAGCAAGAGCAAGACCCCGTCTCTACTAAAAATAGAAAGAAATTAATTGGCCAACTAAAATATATAGAAAATATTAGCTGGGCATGGTGGCACATGCCTGTAGTCCCAGCTACTCGGGAGGCTGAGGCAGGAGGATCACTTGAACCCAGGAGTTTGAGGTTGCTGTGAGCTAGGCTGACATCATGGCACTCTAGCCCTGGCAACAGAGTGAGACTCTGTCTCAAAAAAAAAAATCTTCTTGTAGAGTGAAATATATAATTTATTTTTGGCCATGTGACCCTGAAGCTGTAATTATTTCCCTTAAATCTTTAATGAAATGCACTTCTTTCTATTAAATGTGGTCTTCACAAAGGGCTTCTGTTGTTAGTGGCACATGTAAGGCAACTCAGTTGCTTTTTGTATAGAATCGACATCAAGAGATTTTGGAAGCATAATTTTTGGTAGTTGGGCAGCTGGTGATTGTTGGTCCTGGTGTCCTTGTACAAAGAAAAAAAAATGTGGTCTTCACTCCTTATTGCAGTTTTTCCAAAAAAGGTACCACTTACCCAAGCAACTTTTATAGAGAATCCATTAATGACATGTCATTATCATAGTGAGATTAAACTATCTTTGGATAACTCAGGCCATTTGGAGTTGCTAAATCATGGCAGGAGAAGAGAAATGAAAGATAAATACAGTTCTTATCTTTAAAGATTTCATCAAGCCCAATGAGAATGTATTATAATCAGAATAAGTTTAAATACTAAGATCTTAAGAATCCATGCTGGCTAAGAAAGAGAGAACATTGTCAAAATTTTCAGATCACTAAACAGATTAGAGTGGTAACTCTAATCTCCCTCGTGGTAACTCACCACTGGCAGAAGCAGCTTTCTAAGACTAATGATGACGGCCTCCAACTTTCCTAGCCCTGTGGACTGAGATAAGGGTAAGTAATGATATCCAGTGCTTCAGGAGATCGTAAACTGGGCTTCCATGGAGGTGGGACAGGAGTTTCCTCCCTTCCTTCTGCAAGTCAGTTTCCCAAGGATCTTCATAAGAAAAAGGGTGAGATGAAGCCCAGGAGTGGGGAAGCTTAATTTGCCAGCTGAGTTTCCCAAGTAGTGTGAATGGATGGATTTGCTCCAAGGGTAAGGATGGCACTGAGTTTGTGTCAGAGGACCAAAACACAGTAATTTTTCAGAAGAATTTTTAAAGGGATAGGAAAAAAGCCCTGGCCTACTAAGGCGACTGCTGAGTCACAGGCAATATAGGAAACATAATGTGAGAGGGTGAAATTGAATAGTGGCTCGTTTCTAGAAAGTGACCTCAAACTCCTTAAGGATGTAAATGTCATTAGGGTGGTTATTATAGACTAGAAGGCATTGGAGAAGGAGAGACAGTGACTTGGCAAAAGTACTGGAGGGAAATGAAGCATTTGAAGGTAGAAAGAGGCAGAGGAAAGACAAGGGGGAAAAGCACCATCAAACTCACAATAGTAGTAACACCTGATTTGAGGATGAAGAAATGAAAGAATCAGAATTATTAAGACCGAATGCAACAATTCAGCTTTTATGCAGATACTGATGTTAAGAAGATGAAAGGTCATTTAAAATTCATGTGGTGATGTACCAAATCCTGTAATATGTTTGAGAAGGAAAGGTCAATAGAACACTACCTTTTATGAGCATATATGGTTGTAAACTAACATTTATGGAGTTAAGTTTATATAGGCTTGAGTGCACAGAAAGTTTTTTATTATTTATTTTGGGGGGATAGGGAAGGAGGGTGTTTGTTTTATTTTGGTTTTTGTCTTTTAGAAGTATTATTTAATTAGTAGTCCTAATGAATTTTACAGGTAGAATAAAACAAAGTAAAAGATTCTTGCTAACTAGAAAGATTGACTATGAAAACATGTAAGAAGAAAAATGTCCATGAGGACAACAGAATAAATGCTGGACAGTAAACAGTCATTGGTTGTTGTTGGCACAGACCAAAGGCTTCTGGAATTGCTGTAAAGATGACCTTGAAAAATAATATGAACAAGAAATCAGATCTCAATTGTATGTAGTTTGACTTGTGCAAGTTGCTCTGGTTGTGCATAAGTAAGATGATTGATTATATATTTTATTGTTCAAAATGGGACACTTTTGAGAGTAAAAAGAGGTACTATTAATAATTACACCTGGACAGCAGGTATAACTTGAGATTTTCTGAGCAAACCCAAACAACCAGACTCTCTATGCCTGAGTCCAAATACCATGAAATGTAATATTTCACGTTTTCTAAAATGAGTATCATTCCTGCATAGCTTTTGAGCAATTTCTTTGTATGTCAGTAAACACCAGAAGTATCAATTAAGTCAGTATATATGTCTCAACTATTGTAGTTCACATCTAAAAATCACAAAATAATCGGCATTTTGGTTATGTCACTGTCTTTTTCACCTTCAGTCTTGCCAATATTCAAATAATCAACTCTGTTAGTTTTGAAAGAAGCAATCAATACGAAGGGTGAGAGTTCTATAGCCAGATTGCCTGGAATGGAGTCCTGGCTCTTCTGCTGACTGTTGGACCTACATAACTTGAGAGGCAAGTGATTCAGCCTCCCAGTGGCTCATTTTCCTCCCTGGGGATAAATAATACTATTGATCTCATGGATTTATTGTGAGATTTAAAGTATCAATCTAAGTAAAGACCTTAGAACAGTGAGTGCCATGTAGTGAGATCTATGGAAGAATGAACTACCCTTATTATCATATTCTCAGGAAAGACCATCCCTTTTTTGCATAGTCCTTAGAGTCATCATTTCCTGTCCTTCCCTTCCCTCCCTCCCAGCTCTGTCTCCACTACCTTAAGGCCTTAAAAATCTGAGTAATGAAAATATCCTTTCTGCTTTAGCGTACATTGGAAGAATGAGATATTACATAGAAAGAGGATCTTCCAAACCTAATAAGTGTGAAGGCTGATTTCTTAATATAAAGATGATTGATTGTGATGGTTTAAATTGAAAAATTTTCATCACTTGGGTCTTGACAGTGAAAATTATTACTTCAAAATAAAAAATATCCTTTCTAATCCTTTGCAGAGAATACGACCTGTTCAGTAGTTATTATTAATGGCAAATAGCAGTGTTTTTTGGAAACATGAAACCCAATTAGTGGAATAAGCCATTTTTCTTCAGTGTGGTGAAGTTTGGGAAACAGGAGAAAGCCCTGATACATATCCCACAGAGATTTATGGGGAAATGTGGAGTGAGGGAGCGTTGAAAGGAGGAAGGGAAGCAAATGCAGTAAAACCTACAGAAGCAAAACATCTCTAGAAAGGTAGTCAGAGGCAGAGATAAATGAGAACAGAAACTTGGCCTTACATTGGCATTACATATTGGGAGGAATGTATTTGAATTAGGAATTACAGGAACATATTGATGATTTCTAAGCATTTCTCAGCCTGAACTCTGAATTTTTGATGTTGAAAGCATTTCCAAGTGCCAAGTCCTTTATTGTGCCATATTAAATAGGTATTTCCCAAGTTTATTGAGGAATAGGTTGGTAAACAAACTGATGCTTGAGGAACTCTTCCTTTTACCTATGTCACTGCATGGAATTGTAGGTTTGCTTGCAATATTATGTAGAAGATTCAGAGTAAGAAATTTGTGTGGCAACCACACTGTCATTCAAGTGTCAGCTGAGAAATGGGCATGGGGACTTAAAATCCACACAGCATGACCGAGATTGTTCTCCTCTGTGCTTTGGGCGCAGCTCCCACTCTAGACGAGGCTCTGTTGCTTGCTTGTCCTTTAACATTGCACCAGAAAGCAGGATGGGAAATATTAGGTGTCTAGTTTTCCTCCTAGCTGGTTGGTCTAGTTAAAGATTTGTGGGTGGACAGACCTGAACATGAAGTTTTATGATATTTGTCATTTTCCCTCTGTATGTATCTGTTCACTTATTATCTCAGATAAATGAGAGTTGTGGTTTTCAATCAGAGAAGATCAAAGGCACAGTAGGAAATAAGTGATTTATTTATTGGAAGAGTCAAATAAGGACTTGGTATAGCTTTAGATTTGTTCTGAAATCATTTGGAACTTGTTGCTTTATTAAATTGAGGTTTTTAATTAATGAGCTTTTTATCATACTGATTTCACATATGACACAGTAAAATGTAAGTTTAAATAAAATAATTGATTAAAATCAATCCAACAGTATGTGTAGGATGGCCTTTTGTCCTTTTAAATGCTTACTATGTTTTCTTGTAATCATTATTTCACCAATAATGATACCTTCATATAATTCGAAAGTAGACAAATTCAGATATCCTGGCAGATGGGGACTTAGCTCTTAATCTCAGATGCTTTTAGACACAGTTACTCAAGTTCCAGAAAGTTTTGTTAAAGAACTGGTAGAAAAATTTGGAACAAATTGGGCTTTTTAGAAAGTAAAGCTTAAAAATGAAAGTAGAACTTAGAAATGAATAAGGAAATTCTCCTCTCATTTAGAACATCTTGCTAGTGATCAATAAAGAACTCAGTTTATGTATAGCCTTTATCATTTTATATCTTTTCTGTAATATATAAAGTTTTAATGACTTATTATCATTTTGTGATTCTCTAATTTGTTTTAAAAATGTCACTAATTTTACCCGGAGTTATGTTGCATAAAACATGGTTGGTTAATTTTAAAATATGTATATTTGGAATTTGAGCTCTGCACCTAACAAGTTTAAGAATTTTAAATAAACCAGGGATTCTTATGGAACACCAGTCAGGCTTAAATGAGTAAAGGAACTGAAATCTACAACTCTTCTATGACAGGAAATAACTGTGGAAGTCACAATAGCAAAAACAACAAGTAAATCATAGCTAAAATTTGAACATTTTCAGATTGT